AAAATGAACGTTCATTTTTTTGAACGAACTTTTTAAAATGAAAAAAATGAACGTTCATTTTTTTGAACGAACTTTTTGAAAATGAAAAAAATGAACGTTCATTTTTTTGAACGAACTTTTTGAAAATGAAAAAAATGAACGTTCATTTTTTTGAACGAACTTTTTGAAAATGAAAAAAATGAACGTTCATTTTTTTGAACGAACTTTTTACGAAATGAAAAAAATGAACGTTCATTTTTTTGAACGAACTTTTTGAAAATGAAAAAAATGAACGTTCATTTTTTTGAACGAACTTTTTGAAAATGAAAAAAATGAACGTTCATTTTTTTGAACGAACTTTTTTGAAAAATGAAAAAAATGAACGTTCATTTTTGAACGAACTTTTTACGAACGAAAAATGAACGTTCATTTTTTTGAACGAACTTTTTTGAAAATGAAAAATGAACGTTCATTTTTGAACGAACTTTTTAAAATGAAAAAAATGAACGTTCATTTTTTTGAACGAACTTTTTGAAAATGAAAAATGAACGTTCATTTTTTTGAACGAACTTTTTGAAAAATGAAAAAAATGAACGTTCATTTTTTTGAACGAACTTTTTTTGAAAATGAAAAATGAACGTTCATTTTTTTGAACGAACTTTTTTTGAAAATGAAAAAAATGAACGTTCATTTTTGAACGAACTTTTTTTGAAAATGAAAAATGAACGTTCATTTTTTTGAACGAACTTTTTTGAAAATGAAAAATGAACGTTCATTTTTGAACGAACTTTTTGAAAATGAAAAAAATGAACGTTCATTTTTTTGAACGAACTTTTTTGAAAATGAAAAATGAACGTTCATTTTTTTGAACGAACTTTTTGAAAATGAAAAATGAACGTTCATTTTTTTGAACGAACTTTTTAGAAATGAAAAAAATGAACGTTCATTTTTTTGAACGAACTTTTTGAAAATGAAAAATGAACGTTCATTTTTTTGAACGAACTTTTTGAAAATGAAAAAAATGAACGTTCATTTTTGAACGAACTTTTTACGAAATGAAAAATGAACGTTCATTTTTTTGAACGAACTTTTTGAAAATGAAAAATGAACGTTCGTTTTTTTGAACGAACTTTTTACGAACGAAAAAAATGAACGTTCATTTTTTTGAACGAACTTTTTGAAAATGAAAAAAATGAACGTTCGTTTTTTTGAACGAACTTTTTACGAACGAAAAATGAACGTTCATTTTTGAACGAACTTTTTGAAAATGAAAAAAATGAACGTTCATTTTTTTGAACGAACTTTTTAGAAATGAAAAAAATGAACGTTCGTTTTTTTGAACGAACTTTTTACGAACTGAAAAAAATGAACGTTCATTTTTTTGAACGAACTTTTTAAAATGAAAAAAATGAACGTTCGTTTTTTTGAACGAACTTTTTACGAACGAAAAAAATGAACGTTCATTTTTTTGAACGAACTTTTTAAAATGAAAAATGAACGTTCGTTTTTTTGAACGAACTTTTTACGAACGAAAAAAATGAACGTTCATTTTTTTGAACGAACTTTTTGAAAATGAAAAAAATGAACGTTCATTTTTTTGAACGAACTTTTTGAAAATGAAAAAAATGAACGTTCGTTTTTTTGAACGAACTTTTTTACGAACGAAAAATGAACGTTCATTTTTTTGAACGAACTTTTTTTGAAAATGAAAAAAATGAACGTTCGTTTTTTTGAACGAACTTTTTACGAACGAAAAAAATGAACGTTCATTTTTTTGAACGAACTTTTTTTAAAATGAAAAATGAACGTTCGTTTTTTTGAACGAACTTTTTTACGAATGAAAAAAATGAACGTTCATTTTTTTGAACGAACTTTTTGAAAATGAAAAATGAACGTTCATTTTTTTGAACGAACTTTTTGAAAATGAAAAATGAACGTTCATTTTTTTGAACGAACTTTTTGAAAATGAAAAAAATGAACGTTCGTTTTTTTGAACGAACTTTTTACGAACGAAAAAAATGAACGTTCATTTTTTGAACGAACTTTTTGAAATGAAAAATGAACGTTCGTTTTTTGAACGAACTTTTTACGAACGAAAAATGAACGTTCATTTTTTGAACGAACTTTTTAAAATGAAAAAAATGAACGTTCATTTTTTTGAACGAACTTTTTAAAATGAAAAAAATGAACGTTCGTTTTTTTGAACGAACTTTTTACGAACGAAAAAAATGAACGTTCATTTTTTTGAACGAACTTTTTTTAAAATGAAAAAAATGAACGTTCGTTTTTTTGAACGAACTTTTTACGAAATGAAAAAAATGAACGTTCATTTTTTTGAACGAACTTTTTACGAACGAAAAAAATGAACGTTCATTTTTTTGAACGAACTTTTTGAAAATGAAAAAAATGAACGTTCGTTTTTTGAACGAACTTTTTACGAACGAAAAATGAACGTTCATTTTTTGAACGAACTTTTTAGAAATGAAAAATGAACGTTCATTTTTTGAACGAACTTTTTGAAAATGAAAAATGAACGTTCGTTTTTTGAACGAACTTTTTACGAACGAAAAATGAACGTTCATTTTTTGAACGAACTTTTTGGAAATGAAAAATGAACGTTCGTTTTTTGAACGAACTTTTTACGAACGAAAAATGAACGTTCGTTTTTTGAACGAACTTTTTACGAACGAAAAATGAACGTTCGTTTTTTGAACGAACTTTTTAAAATGAAAAATGAACGTTCGTTTTTTGAACGAACTTTTTACGAACGAAAAATGAACGTTCATTTTTTGAACGAACTTTTTGAAAATGAAAAATGAACGTTCATTTTTTGAACGAACTGTTTTGAAAATGAAAAATGAACGTTCATTTTTTTGAACGAACTTTTTGGAAATGGAAAAATGAACGTTCATTTTTTGAACGAACTTTTTGAAAATGAAAAATGAACGTTCGTTTTTTGAACGAACTTTTTACGAACGAAAAATGAACGTTCGTTTTTTGAACGAACTTTTTACGAACGAAAAATGAACGTTCGTTTTTTGAACGAACTTTTTACGAACGAAAAATGAACGTTCATTTTTTGAACGAACTTTTGGAAATGAAAAATGAACGTTCGTTTTTTGAACGAACTTTTTACGAACGAAAAAAATGAACGTTCATTTTTTTGAACGAACTTTTTAAAATGAAAAAAATGAACGTTCATTTTTTTGAACGAACTTTTTTTAAAATGAAAAAAATGAACGTTCATTTTTTTGAACGAACTTTTTTTAAAATGAAAAATGAACGTTCATTTTTTTGAACGAACTTTTTAAAATGAAAAAAATGAACGTTCGTTTTTTTGAACGAACTTTTTACGAACGAAAAAAATGAACGTTCATTTTTTTGAACGAACTTTTTTAAAATGAAAAAAATGAACGTTCGTTTTTTTGAACGAACTTTTTACGAACGAAAAAAATGAACGTTCATTTTTTTGAACGAACTTTTTAAAATGAAAAAAATGAACGTTCGTTTTTTTGAACGAACTTTTTACGAACGAAAAAAATGAACGTTCATTTTTTTGAACGAACTTTTTAAAATGAAAAAAATGAACGTTCATTTTTTTGAACGAACTTTTTAAAATGAAAAATGAACGTTCGTTTTTTTGAACGAACTTTTTACGAACGAAAAAAATGAACGTTCATTTTTTTGAACGAACTTTTTTAAAATGAAAAATGAACGTTCGTTTTTTTGAACGAACTTTTTACGAATGAAAAAAATGAACGTTCGTTTTTTTGAACGAACTTTTTACGAACGAAAAAAATGAACGTTCATTTTTTTGAACGAACTTTTTGAAAATGAAAAAAATGAACGTTCATTTTTTTGAACGAACTTTTTTGAAAATGAAAAAAATGAACGTTCATTTTTTTGAACGAACTTTTTAAAATGAAAAAAATGAACGTTCATTTTTTTGAACGAACTTTTTGGAAAATGAAAAAAATGAACGTTCATTTTTTGAACGAACTTTTTGAAAATGAAAAATGAACGTTCATTTTTTGAACGAACTTTTTTACGAACGGAAAATGAACGTTCATTTTGGTTGAACGTTCAAAAGCAAACTTGAACCAAAAGTTTGGTTTCAACATTTGTTCGAAAATGTTTGGTCGAACGTTCGTTCGAACGTTTGGTTTTGAGAACTCTATAGCATACCGTTGGCGAGGTTCTTGGTTCGGCCCCACTCCACGTTTTTCAGGTTTTTGCCATTTTCTTTTGAGTTTCTTGACCTTTTTTGCTCTTCCCCAAGCTCAATTTACCTTGCGACAAACTTCATGGCTTAATGGCTAGGCATCTAGTCCGACGTTCAGGGGATCAATGGTTCGACTCCCCTTCACGGTTTTCTCATTTTTGCCGTTTTTCCACGACTTTCTTAACCTTTCTCGCTCATCCCCAAGCTCAAAGAAACCCGAAAAACACTTCATAGCTTAATGGCTAAGACACTGGTATGACGTTCAGGAGGTCAATGGTTCGACTCCCCTCCACGTTTTTCTCATTTTTGCCATTTTTTCACGAGCTCTTATCTCCTTTTACCTGTTCCGCAAGGCTAACTCAACATGCAACGTACATCATAGCTTAATGGCTAGGAAACTAGTATGACGTTCAAGAGATTGATGGTTCGACTACTCTCCATGTTTTTCTCCTTTTTGCCATTTTTTCACGATTTTCTTGACCTTTCTCGCTCATGCCCCAAGCTGAACTAAACCCGAAAAATAATTCATAGCTTAATGGCTAGGAAGTTAGTATGACGTTCAGGAGGTCATTGGTTCGACTCCCCTCGACGTTTGTCTGATTTTTGCCATTTTTCCACGATTTTCTTAGCCTTATTTTCTCTTTCTTAAGCTCAAATAATCAAAATACTTCATAGCTTAATGGCTAAGGCACTAGTATGACGTTCATGAGGTCATTGGCTCGACCCCACTCCACGTTTTTCTCATTTTTGCCATTTTTCCAGGACTTTCTTGACTTTTCTCGCGCTTCCCCAAGTTGAATTAAACTCGCAAAAACACTCGACTATCAATTTTGAGAACTTTCCAAAACGCCTTGTTCACACCCACCCGCTGTGGCGTCGGCGGCGACTTTGCATCGACGGCCCTCCCAATCGCAACAATGTCGGCGGGCGGCCTTTGAAGTCCGAACCGAACGCCGCCAGAAATCAAAGCAGGCAAGGCGGGAAAAATGTATTTCGGAAGAGAAGTCGTCGGGAATGCGGCTCCGCCCCCCATTTGAATATTGTCTTTGCGCCGATGTGTTTTCAAAGATCTCATCTGCATGAGCACCGTCATGTCGTTCTTCTATTTCTTCCAGATGCTCAACAACTGGCCGAGGATGCTCCTTTTCGCCTGGGACAGCATGGTGAGACCTTTATTTTGAGCGTGTGAGCTCGAAAATCTTAAAATCTAGTTTTTCTTTCGTCACATAGTTCGTTCATTAGGGTTTTTATTTATCTTGAAGGACACTTTCAAAGGCTATTTGAATTGCGACGGACCAAAAACGACTTGCGCAAGGCGCCATAGACGACCTTTATTTCAACTATGATCAAGCCGCAACGCGACCGCGTCGTTTCGAACCATTCCAAGTGTGATCAAAAAAATGCGCCCTTGGAATGGCTTAAAGCATTTTTCAGTGCGCGACCGACCAAAAACGACTTGCGCGCAGTGGCATCAAAAACGGCTTTTCAAATTTCTCAAGCCTTAACGAGGCCGCGTCGTTTCGAGCCATTGCAAATTCATGAAAAACATCTTTTCGAATGGCTTGACGAATTTTTTCACTGCGCGACCGACCAAAAACGACTTGCGCGCAGTGGCATCAAAATTTTGGCTGAGCTGCGTTTAAAGTTTGAGAAAACCTTGTTATACTATACAGCGATCAGCAGTAAAGTTTCCAGACGTTCAAGACTTTTAGAGTGCTTTAATAAAGTTTGGTCGCACTTGGAATGGCTCGAAGCGTCGCGGTCGTGTTGCGGTCGCGTTGCGGCTGGAATTGGCTCTATTTTGAGCCGGCATGCAGTAGCTTGTCCTCGAGCGCAAGTAGTTTTTGATCGGTTGAATCTAAAAAAAATCCGCGTCGCTGCCGCAACGCTCAGAGCCATTCCAAATGCGACCAAATCAAAAAATGGGATAGAATATATCAAAACCGACTTTTTTCGAAAAAAAAAATTTTTAGCTCAACCCCCACGTGGCAACGTTGAACATGAGCGTCAGAGCCGTTCATTTGGACCAGTTCCAACTTTGGAATACGGTAGAACAGATGAGAAATTCGACGAGGAAGTCGCCGACGACCTTCTCCGTCTGTGAAGACGTTCAAGTCTTGAAGACCTCTTCTGCTTCTTCTTCCTATTCCTGGGAGCTCATTAGGTTCATTTTTTGAAAAAATTGAAGGAAATTAGAAATTCAGGGACGGCAAGTCGGAGCACTCCGCAACAACACAGAACTGCTCGTGGGACTTTTCGATACCTGAGCAGGTGTGAAAACGGCTAAAATGAAAAGGCGGGGGGTGGACACGAACCTGCGACCCTTCGAGTTACAGTCCCGGGAGCTGAAATGACTTTATATGGGAATTAATGAATAAATTACGATTTTTAGGCGTTTTTTTTTCAAAGATTTGGGTTGAAAGGGGTCTTCAAAATTTCTGAAAAACTTTTTAAATTTTTTGAAATTGCTTTTGAAGCTCTTGGAAGTCATTTTTCAGCGTTCTGACCCTTTTGAATACATTTTCAGCGCCCTAGAGCTTTTAATAACCGTCCAAAAGCTTCAAAAGCTCTTTCTATCTCAATAAGAAATATATTTGCGTAAGTAGCTTCAAAGTCCGGCGCAGAAGGGCATTCCATGCCAATAAAGAAGTATTGTTCATGGGACTTTTCGATACCTGAGCAAAAATGGCAAAAATGAAATGGCGTGGGCAGGAGGCGAACCTGCGACCCTTCAAGACATTCCTAAGATTATCGCAAGTTCTTATGACGCTTTGAAGCACTCTGGCGCTTTTGAAGACTCTCTGAAACCTTCAATAACTTTCCTAACCCGATGAGAGCCATATGTGCGGAAGTAGCTTCAAAGTCGGGCGCAGTATCTCAAGCCATTTCAAGTCCTGCGATTCAAGTAATTTTGATTTAAGTGTGAGAAAGCAATTCCCAGTGCGGTCATCCATAACCTCAAAACCCTATTCCAGGTCCCCTACGACGTCTACCTCAAGGTCAAAGTCAATTCCACCGTAAGATTCGTCTCGAAACGCTCGGTTCATCTGGAGCGACGCTTCTGGATGGCCGCCGTCGGCGACTCCTTCTCTTCCGGTCAGGGGAATCCAGACGTGCCGACGTCTTCAGAAGCTCCCGCAAAATGGATGAATGGTGATTTTTTCTGCTCTGTTGCTCTGAACTTTGAAAACCTGGGCGGCCCTTTGAAGTTTGGCGGCGAGTCTTTTGATGTTCGCCGACAGACGTTGAAAAAATGCGGGGTTTTTGAAAATAATGTTTGGTGTTATAAATAGCGTCTTGTATTTGAGTTCGGGAGCTGATTCAAAAAATTAGGGATCCTTAAGCTTCCCCTTCAGGGACCACTTCATCTCCCCAAAGAAGTGGCCCCTATAGGGAAGCATTCTAGTCGTTTTCTGATATGAACACACAGCCTGACAAAAAAAAGTCAAAAAATCCTTTAAGGGACCACTGGAGCTTCAGGAGCTTCGGAGTCCGACCCTAAACCCTATAGGGACCACTTCTTTGTCCCCTGTAGAGGCTGCTTTTTCCCTATAGGGTCCCCTCTGGCGTTATATCTTCCTCAATTTCAAAATGACAATTTTTCCTTTTTCCATGTTCATTTGGCATAGTTGGGCGGAGCCAAGTCATTTTTTCGATTATTATGACGTCATAAAAAGTCAAGAGCCAATTATGACGTCATCAGCAAAAAAAAAAATAACCTTTATCCCTATAGGAGCCCCTCTGGCATTATTATATAAAGAGCCAATTATGACGTCATAAAAAAGAAAAGTCTGACCTGTCTGCGCCCTCTTCTCCCTCGTCGGTTATACCACGCCTGACTTTTTTGAAAAATACTTCATACCAGATCCTCAGAATAATTAAAAAATGACGTCATTCTTTTTCAGAATCCTGCCATCGTTCCACGAAATCCTTCGCCGTCAGGGCTTTCAGGACCCGAGAACTTCGTCATCCTCTCCAGTCCCACTTCCTGACCTTCCTCTCGTGTTCTGGAGCTTCCGTCGATCGCGGGATTCTCGGCGGCACGTCTTCTGACGGCCAGTTAGAAGTCGTCGAGAAGATGGCCAAGGAGAGGTTGGAGAAGTCAGAAGACGTTAAAAATCTTTCGATTCAGGGGTTCTCCTCCTGACGTCCTTCTGATGACGTTGGGCGGAAACGACATCGGATTCACCGACGTCGTCAATTCGCTCCACAATGGAGATTCTCCGATGCGCGGGGGTCCTATCGATATGAGGTGGATCAATGGTGCATTAATATAATGACGTCATAGCTTCCAGATTCTTCTACACCGCCCATCAGTTGGACCTCGTCGCAGCCAAGATCAACGCCATCGGAATTCAGAAGGTCGTCGTCGTGCCTTATTATGACGTCACTCGGAATGATCGTGGAGAGGTCGACGCTTCTTGTTTTGATAATGTAAGTCTGTTAAAAGAAAAAAAACGAAGGAAGAATACAGAGGAGAGAGAGAAGAGACGCCAGAGAAAGAAAGGAGTCTCATTTCTCTGGCGTCTCTTCAGGCCGGCGTAGTTCTATCATAGAGCGGATTCACGGCTCTCTTGAGCCTTCTAAAAAAAGGGCCCTGAGACGATCAAAAAGAAGAGAGTGTCTCATTAGTGATGAGCGCAGAATCCTGGAGTATAAAATGACGTCATTTATCAAAGGCATCACTCAGATCTCCACTGCCAGCATGGTCCTGACCGAAAAACGCGTCTGGAAACGTCTAAACGCCCTCATCGCCAACAAGGCCAAGCAGTACGGCTGGACCTTCGTCGAAGGCATTTCTGAGCTCTTCCGAACGCGTGGGATTTGCTCGAAATCTTCGTTGATTAGGTAAAACTAACTTTTTCAAAAATTCTCAACCCTTCAACTTTCCAGAACCGCCAACGATTCGATGAAAATCCAAGGCGATCCCTTCGGAAGTTGGCATCCAAACGAAGAAGCACACTTGCTGATTTCGCGACTGGTTTCGGCCCTCCTGTAAATATTATCCGAACGGTTTTAGTAGAAAAAGTTTAATTCGGGAAATATTGTGTCCTGTTGACAGTTCTCGTGGTCATATTCCTTATATACCTGATCTCATTGCATTATGAAACAAATAATAAAGAGTTTTTATCAATTTTTAAAACATGATGAGCTCGAAAAAAAGACGAATAATCAAAGAATTAAGCAAAAAAAGGGGAAGAGAATATTTAGAAATATTGGGAATTTTTTTATTTCTTACTGTAGCGTGACTTCGTTCATCGAGTGTATGCAGAATGCATTTTTATTTCACGCAAGTTTGTAATTTTCGCCTCTCTTTTATTATTATTTTTTCTTTTATTTATAATATTCTATCAGTTTAACGCGTTCATGATATGACCTGAAATCCTCGCTGAGCTTTCTGAAAGCGACAAAGCTCTTCTTGATGTGAAACAGTGTCGGAAACAGCTCTTTTTCTCGAGAAATTTGGGAATTTTCGTATTATTTTTTAAATTTTGCTGCATGGACTCTGGAGCATAAATCGAAAATTCATGAGGTCTATATTGATTTTAAAACTGTTCCAACCTGTTAAACGTATTTTTTTGTTCTTTCTCAAAGTTTTTTTAATATTTTTAATCCTTCTAAAAAAATTGTCCAGTTTTTTTAAAATTTGAAAGATTGAAATAGTTTCTGATGTTTGTTAAAAATTTTTTCCATATTCTCGTAGTTTATAGCAATTTTTTTAAGCTCAAAGTGTTTTTCAGGGAAATTCTTCACATGAAACTCGAAAAATTTCAAGAAAAAAACCAACTTTTTAGGTTTTTTTTTAACGCCGAGCGATTTCGCGAAACTCAAAATAGCAGTCAGAGAGGGAGAAAGATAACAAAAATTTTGGAGAGTCAGAGATAATTTTTCAATTTCGCGGCTTTACTTTAAACGCGGTATAAATTTTTTTAGAGTAATATTATTTTTATGAATTTCTGTGATTTTTCTTGATTTTTTTCTAACTAATTTGTATTTTTTTCTTTGAAAGAGATTTTTCGCGAACGATATCGCGACGCGGCCTTGAAACACCGCGTCGCGTGTGTGCTGCTCGGCGCCAATCGGCGGGCCCCCTGTCCGAATCGATGACGCGTTTTGTTGGCCTAGGTGCGGGGCGATATCGCCTCGACGACATTACCCTCTCTTTCCCCTTCCTTCTCCTAGCCTTGCGCTGTCGTTTTTTTTCTCGCAAATTCCATTAAAATCTTCATTTTCCTTCATATTTTTGCAGTTTCTTTAAATTTTCAGGACATAGTTTTCATTTTATTCCGCGAACTAGGAAGTAAAAAGGATAACTAGATATTGGAGAATCAGACATGAGTTTGAATTCGCGGCATTCGAGAAAAATTGACTTGAAAAGCTGAAATACCTCCAAAAATCCTTAATTTTTCATGTTTTCTATTGGATTCTGTTCCATTAAGTGTCTCAAAAATGTTTCAATTTCTAAAATACACCTTAAAAAAATAAATTTTTTTACACTTTTTTTATAGCCTCTTTAAAAAAATTTAAGAAATATTTGTAGGTCCATAAAATAATTTATCAAAATTACTTAGGATTATTAATTTTTTTCAATGATAATTTAGCTCAATTTAGCTACTTTCACGCCATTTTTAACTAAATAAACTATTTTCCTGACTTTCTTCAACACAAAATCTCGTTTTTTGGAAAATTTGAGCTCAAAATCGTTCATTTTTGCCCTTTTTTTCCAAACTTTTTCCATGTTTTGTCTCGGTTTTTTTCGTTTTTTTCAAGCTTTTTCCAGCTTCAAAAATCCTTTAAATTCAAAAATCTGTCCCAAAAGTTGATCTTTGTTTCATCTTTTCCGTGAAAACATATCAAAAAAATAATATTTTTTTCTGTTTCCGTGAGTCATTTTTCCTAGGAAAAAGCTTGATTTGGTTGGAATTCCATATTTTTCTATTTCGAAACGATAGAATTTTTCCATTATTTCCATCAAAATCACTGATTTTTCTGAAAGCTTTTCTCATGGTGCCGTCAGTTGAAATCATGTTTTTTACGAAATTCCATCATTTTCTTTTATTTTTTGTCAAAAATCTTCATTTTTTTGTTGAATTCCGCGTTCCCGCAGAGTTCAAAATAGCCGTCAGAGAGTGAGAAAGATAACGGAATTTCGGAGAATCAGAGATAGTTTTGAATTTACTTGGAACTTCCCCTAAATCTTAAGTGGTCCTTATAGTGATTTTTTAATTTTTTTTTTCTGATTTGAAAGTTAAAAAAACCTATAGGGACCACTAGAATGCCCCCCTGAAGTGGCCACTTTTAGGAGCTCAGAGTTATTTTTTTTTGCGTTTTTTTCTCGTTCTTTTTGCCAATATCGATTCATTTCGAAAATGTGATTTTTTTCCAGCGATGGCCCAAGTTATCGCTCGTCGAAATAGAAATACAGCGGTTCGAATGACTATTATCAAAGAGGTTTGAGCGATTTCTTAATTTCGTAGAATCGAAGAGAAATCTTTTTTTGATGAATTTTGGAGGAAACATGCTTTTTAAAATAGCCATATATTTATTCCACAATCCTCCCTCCCCCTCACCTAACTTTGAAATAAGCATTGCAAGCCTAGTCCGGATCAGCCCCCCTTCATTCCAGAATCGTCCACCGCATTGTTTCAAAATAGCCCCCCACAACATGAGAGCTGAATCAAATAAGGGGGGCAGGGATGACTGTATCTTATTCCAGAACCCTCCCCCACCTAATTTTTGGAATAAGCATTGCAAGCATTGATCGGATCAACCCCCCATTCCAGAATCGCCCCTCCCCCATTCCAGAATCGTTCCCCCATTCCAGAATCGCCCCCCCTTCCTCCACAACATGGGAGCTGAATCAAATTCGAAGCGGAGAGGGGGGTTAATATTTTTAGAACTAGAGAGAGGGGGAGGGGGGCCATCCTGGAATAAACCCAATTAATCTTCGAATGGAATGAAAAAAAAAGGAACACATTAAATTCAGGTACGAAAAAGGCCGGCCCTCTGGGGAGGTCGCTCAGTGATCCATACAACGACAAATTTGGAAAAAAATGAACTTTGGTGCGAAATCGCCGAAAAAATCACGTCTACTACCGGCACAGAAGTCTCGAGTTAGTTGACAAAATCATTCCCAACGCTCTGACCTGTCTGCGCTCTCTCTTCACTCACCTTGAAGAATGAAAATAGGGCCTAAAAGTGAAAAAGAAGTCGAGAATTCCCAATTTTTCGACAAAAAAATTTGCCAGAACGTTAGAAGCATGAAAAATCGCATTTTCTTGTTTAAAATTTTTTTTTTGACGGAATTCGATAAAAATGTTCCGAAATGACACGAAATCAATAAAACAGTACCATGAACTTTTTTTTAAAAGACCTTCCAAATTAGAAATGAAAAAAGCGCGTATAAATGAGAGAGTTCAGAAAAAAAATGAGTATTTCAAGTCACTGTTTCAAAATGGCTCCAAAACTCTGCGAATTCAGAGAAAAAGTGTTTTCAGTTTTCTTCGAATACGCTTCAAGTAGAACCTGAAAATAGCGCGTGAAAACGAGAGGGTGCAGAGAAAAATATTATTTAAAATTGGCACAGATAAATTTTCAGTTTCTAACGCCAATTTTGAAAGATAGTGGAATAAGCGCGTGAAAACGAGAGAGTGCAGAGAAAACTACAGTTTTGGCAGATAACTGCTAATTTTGGAATGGAAAACTCCTTTAGAAAAAGATTTTCCAAGTTAGACGTGAAAATAGCGCGAGAAAACGAGAGGGTGGAGAGAAAAAGATTATTTAAAATTGGCACAGATAAATTTCCAGTTTCTAACGACAATTTTGAAAGATAGTTCGAATTTAACATGAAAATAGCGTGTAAAAATAAGAGAGTGCAAAGAAGGAGACTGATCTCAGTTTTTGGCAGAAAATTTCTCATTTTTGAATTAAAAACGGCCTCATAAAAGGATACTCCAAATTGGACTTGAAAATAGCGCGTGAAAACGAGAGGGAGCAAAGAAAAATACTATCTTAAATTTTTTCGGTAAAAGGCTCCTTGAAAACGCCCATAAAGAAGGATCTTCCGAATTCGAAACTTAAAAAGAGCCTGTAAACGCGAGAGGGTGCATAGAAAATGAATAATTCAAGTCACTGTTTCGAAATGGCTCCAAATTTCTTCGAAAACAGAGAAATAGTACTATTAATTGTTTTGAATATCCTTCAAATAGAACCTGAAAATAGCGTTTGGAAACGAGAGGGTTCAGAGAAAAATAATATCTTAAATTTCGGCGGTAAAAGGCTCCTTGAAAACGCCACCACAGAGGGTTCGTTCAGACTGGGCATGAAAATAGCGCGTGATAACGAGAGGGTGCAGAGAAAAATACAGATTTGACAGATAACTGTTCATTTTTGAACTGAAAACATCCTCATAAAAGGATACTCCAAATTGGACCAGAAAATAGCGCGTAAACTAGAGAGGGTTCAGAGAAAAACATATCAAGCTGTTATAAAATGATTCCTCAAAATGATCATGAAAACAGCGCGTGAAAATTAGAGAGCGCAGAGAAAAACAAACCGTCAGACGTTTCCTCGAAAGAAAATTTCAGTTATTGATTAAAATCGATTTTTCTTTTCCAGTCCCTGACATCAAAACCATCTGGAAGAACCTCCGGGACAGTTTTGCGCGGCAACTGAAAGATTCCGAGGAGAATCCGACCCAACGAAGGGCCTGGCCTTTTTTCGACCACATGTCTTTCCTCCGTGATGTCCTCCAGCCGACGATCGGAGTGAATTTTTAGAAAATCAATAGCGTAAAGTGGAGTGTCGTAGTTAAAGGAAATTCTGGAAAAAGTCTGAAAAATAGTGAAAAACGACAATTTTACGCTCTCGAAAAGTTTTCAGCCGATTTTGAGCGATTTCTTGAGTATTGAAGCGTAAATTGGAGTGTCGTAGTTAGAGTAGATTTTGGGAAAAATCTGAGAACTATTGAAAAAAAAAATCAAGTTTATGCTCTCGAAAAGTTTTCATGTTGAGGAGCTTCTAAAAAATTTGAAAATCGAAAAAGAAGGCTTTGAAAAGGAAAAATAACTTGAAAAACTGAAAAAAAAAACCGTAAATTGGAGTGTCGTAGTTAATGTAGGCAAAAGTCTGAAAAATAGTCAAAAAAATGAATCAATTTTATGCTTTCGCAAGTTTTCACGTTGAGGAGCTTCTAAAAAAAAATTCAAAAAGAAAAATTCAAAAATTTTGAGTATAGGGACAAAAAGCAACGATTCCAAGAGCGCCGTTCAAATTGAGCGCCAGTCCGCAATGCGCCGTCGCGTGTATGCGCCGTGTATACAGACGCCGCTTTCTTTTGCGCCGAGTCCGTTTGCGCCGAATCGTTTTGCGCCGTTATTTCATACTTTTATTTATTCGCTCTTTTTTATATTATTTTTTTAATAATTTTTTTACTACACATTCATATACGACTCGAATAATTTTCGCGCCATCTGTTAATATGGACTTTTCTGCCGCATTTTCGAAAAAACTCGAACTATTGTTTGAAGAAAATGAGTTCAACGTTACGAAAAACGATTTTCTGCTGTTTCACGTCTGCTAGAATTGAAACTTTGCCTTACCTAACGCAGAAAATTTGCAATCACAAAAAAAATCACTCAGTATGTCGTTTAAAGCAATAATTTTTATCCATTCTCTTTTTCCTTACGTTTTTCTGTATTTTTTTCGAAATCAGAAAAAGCATATTTGCTTTTTTTATTTTTTTACTTTGAAAAGAAAAAAAGGGGAAAAAAAATATTTTACCTGGACCAAAGTAGACCTAAAACTCATCATTAACGGATGGCGCGAAAATTATTCGAGTCGTATATGAATGTGTAGTAAACAATTATTAAAAAATAATATAAAAAGAGCGAATAAATAAAAGTTTGAAATAACGGCGCAAAACGATTCGGCGCAAACGGACTCGGCGCAAAAGAAAGCGGCGTCTGCATACACGGCGCATACACGCGACGGCGCATTGCGGACTGGCGCTAAATTTGAACGGCGCTCTTGGAATCGGCGCTTTTGTCCTATACTCAAAATTTTAAATTTCCCGAGATGTCAGTTTTATGAGAAAGCAGAGCGTAAACTGGAGTGTCGTATTTATTTCAAATTTTGAGAAAAAGTCTGAAAAATAGTGGAAAAAGGAGTCTGAAGCTCTCAAAATGGTACAATTTTTGAAAATTCAAAAATTTTTTTCAAGTTGCTCAAAGAGACAGGCGTAAATTGGAGTTTCATAATCTTTTTTTCGAAAAATTTCGAATTTTTCTGAATTTTTTTCTGTTCAAGTTTGATTTTTTAAAACTTAAAAAAATTAAGAAAAGCTGGACCCTCTGCCACACAAAGGAAATTCCTAAGATGTCTGCGTCTCCAATTTTTCCATGCTCTCTAGATTTCAGGAATACGAAAATAGCCTTTTTAATAGATTCAAAAGCGCTCCATTGAGAATTCCAAAAAAATGACAAGTTTCTGTAGAACTCAGACAGTATGAAAAGATGGAGAGACGCAGAAATTCAGTGAAAATTTTCAAGGTGTCTGCGTCTCCTATTTTTCCATGCTCTCTAGCTTTCAGTGTATTTTCTGCAGACTGATTATCCCTAGATTCCGAGATTTCAAGGAAAAAGCCTCTAGTGACCACTTAAGAGGCCCCTCAAGGAAGGAGAAGAAGAAAATTATTAATATGTCTGCGTCTCTAATTTTTAAATCCTCTCTAGATTTGTTTTCCGAGGATTTTGTAGCTTTACGATTACCGTACAAAATCTTACTGTACCTTCCGAAAAACGATCCATTTTCCCAGTCCCGGAAGCGGATCGAAGCCTGCAAGACGGAGGTCTTGAACGACGACGACGACGAAGAACTGATGGACGAGATGGAAGATGACGTCATCGATCCGACGACGTCGACGAACATCGACATCGGTGACGTCACGACGACTTTGTCGCTGGGCAAGCTGAGAAGAAGGAGCAGCAGCTGTAGCAGTGATGAGAGCGACGACGACGGCTCGAGCCCGCCGACCAAGAGGACCCTGATGGACATAAGTGAGCACTTGAGGGGTGACGTCACTTTGGGATCTCAGCTCGATCTCATGACGTCATTTAAGTTTACTTGTTCTGCTCTTTTCTAGAAAAATCTCGATAAGAGCTTTTCTCAGAAATAAATGACGTCATAGTTCTAGATCATAATCGATAGTAGCGTTTTTCAGAAATAAATGACGTCATTATTCTAGATTAGTGACGTCATTTTTAGTTGACCATGTTTTTTTCTAGAAAAATCTCAATATTAGTTACCTCCAAAAAATAAATGACGTCATAACTTCCGACGAATGACGTCATTTCAAGTTGACTATGTCTACTGTTCTAGAAAAATCTCGATAAGAGCTTTTTTTTAGAAATAGATGACGTCATAATTATAGTTTTATGACGTCATTATCTTCTGAATAAATGTATTTCGGACCCATCCTTTCTGAATTAGAGCTTTTTCCAGAGGAGGATGACGTAAATATATTTTCAATGACGTCATTTTTGGAGCTCAGTTTGCTTAATAAAAATTGCGGGTTTGATAATTTCATTAAAAGGGCCTTTTTGAAGATTTTCCCATTGAATGACGTCACTTTTCGTGTTCACTGACGTCATAATTTGAGATAAATGACGTCATTTTTGAAGCGATTTTTTCTCATGAGGTCATTTCTAGCTGAATATATGATATTTTACCTCTTTTCCTCTTTTTATGACGTCATAATCAAAGTTAAATGACGTCATTTTCGTAGTTTTATTTGTAAAAATTGAGGAAAATCTCACATTCTTTTTTTGAATGACGTCACTTTTCTAGTTAGATGACGTCATTTTCAAAAGCTTAAAAAAAGAAAAGTCGACTTTTTTGGGGAAAAAATTTGACGAACAGAGATATTCCAACATAATGACGTCACTATCCAGCTAGATGACGTCATTTTTTCAAATAATGCGAAATTTTCTCTTTTCAGTGGCCCCGATCCGACAAAAATACGGAAAATTCGACCCACCCTTTCTGGATAACACAACTGGTGAGTTGGAAAAAACTCAAATTTGATAAACTTTCGTGAAAATTTTCGGTTTTTTGGTCATTTTTTTCGAAAAACGAAAATTTTTAGTGGTTACTTTAGGGTTTTGGCGTTCAAGTGGCCACTAGAGTAGTCGAATAAGTGGTCCCTTAAGTGACTAGAATTTAGGGGCCTCTTTAGAACTACTGAGCCACTAAAAACTACTATAGTGGTCACTAAGACGCAAAATAGTGGCTTCAGTGTCCTCTCCAAGTAGCCCTTGAGGGACCTCTTAAGTGACCACTCGAGATTTTCGCAGAAAATTTCATAAAGTCGAAGGAATGTCATTGGAGTTCCAAAAAAGGTTATTTTAGATACATTATCGTCGGTTTTTTCGTGTAACCCACCGCCGCCCATCACACTCCCAAAGCCGGATCGAGCCGAGGCCTTCGGAAATTTTGTCGCCGTTTCTTTGCGCGAAAAATCCGAGGCTTTTTATAAGGTTTGCCGATTTTTTTTTCAACAAAATTCACAGAAAAATATCTATAGTTTGATGTAACTTCAATTTTTGAAGATAAAAGCCATTCTAATAGAAACAAAAGCGCTCCATTGAGAAATTCGAGAAAATGTGTCTGCGTCTCCAATTTTTCCCTGCTCTCTAGATCTTTTTCGAAGCAGGAATACGAAAATAGCCACTTCAAAGGAATCAGACGCGCTCCATTGAGGAATTTGAGAAAATGTGTCTGCGTCTCCAATTTTTCCCTGTTCTCTAGATCTTTTTCGAAGCAGGAATATAGTCTGTTCAGATATTGAATGTCAAGTAGAATGACGTCATTCGAAAGCGCTCTGTGGATGGCTCGCTCTCTGATTTGTTTATCCCGCAATTAGGGGGCGGGGCTTCAGCGAGGACTTGACATTTGAAATCTGGACAGACTATACGAAAATAGCCACTTCAAAGGAATCAGACGCGCTCCATTGAGAAATTTGAGAAAATGTGTCTGCGTCTCCAATTTTTCGCTGCTCTCTAGATCTTTTTCGATGCAGGGATACGAAAATAGCCGTTTTAATAGAATCAAATGCGCTCCATTGAGAAATTCAAGAAAAATGGGGAGTTAGACAGTATGAAAAGATGAAGAGACTCAGACACTCGGAGAAATTTTTCAATGCGTCTGCGTCTCTAATTTTCCCCTGCTCTCTAGATCTTTCTCGAAGCAGGAGCACGAATAGTTTTATTAGAATCATATGCGCTCCGTTGATAATTTCAAGGGAAACGGGAAATTTCTGAAGTTCTCAGACAGTATGAAAATATGAAGAGACTCAGACACTTGGAGAAATTGTTTAGTGTGTCTGCGTCTCCAATTTTCCCTTGCTCTCTAGATTTCAGTGTATTTTGGGCATTTTCAGACTGACTTTCACTTGATTATTAAATTCTGTGAAAAAATCCAGGGGCCTCTTAAGAGATTCTCCAAGGACACTAAAGTGGCCACTAAAAAAACCAATATAGAAGGCACTTTTTTTCGTCTTAGTGGCCCCTATAGTAGTTTCTAGGGGGTCTAGGGAGGGTACTGAATTGTAGTCACTTAAGTGGCCCCTCAAAATTTGAAACCCTAAAGAGGCCACTATTCTTCGTCTTACTAGTCACTTCAGTAGTTTCTAGTGGTCTAGTAGTACCCCTTAGAGACTCCTAAAAAGGGCACTGAATTTTAGCCTCTTAAATGGCCACATACTCGAATACTAGAAAGGTCACTGAAAGGTAAAAACCCTGAAGTGGCCACTGAACATTTTTTTTGAGCCATGTTTTTTCAGAAAGCCATCGTGCAGATCACCGAAATTTTGCTGGCCGAAGACGTCGAATAAAGAATATTTTAATAAATAAATCGTTTTATTATACATTTGTTCAAGAAAACAACAATTGCACGTGCGCCGGGAACGGTACCGGTTGGAAGAAGCTTGAAAAAGCCAAATTCTAAGATGAAATTTCTAGAAAAATGATAGCTTGAGCAACTGGAAATTTTCTATTCTAAATATTGATATCTTGACGCTTTCTACCCATTGACCAGTCTTTAATTAGGAAAATCAGAATCTTGACGAGATTATCGACGGCTTGCAGTATAGTTCACATTCCTCTTTCGTCCTCGGATGGGCGATGTTCTTTTCTTTCTGAAAAATGGTCACTTAAGGGATTAGGGAAGGCGTTTCTATAGTGGAGAAATTTGATGAAAAGCCTCAAGGTACATTAGAAAAACTTCAAAAAAGTGAATTTTTTTTGGAAATAAAATGTACAAAAAACGGGAAAGTGGTCACTCTAGGGGCAAGATAAAAAACCCCTAAAGTGCTCCCTATCAAGAAACATCCAAGGGGTCCCTATGGGGGTTGTAACACTCTGAAGTACCCCAAAAGGAACCCTGTAGGGATCCCTTAAACTTCAGGAATCTCGTAGACAGCTCAGAAAGCCCTATAGGGACCACTGAAAAAGTAACGTTAAAGTGGGTCCTGTAGGGACCATATAAGACTCCTACCCCTACAGGGATCCCTTAAGCTTAAGGAATTTCGTAGACAGCTCAGAAAGCCTATAGGGACCACTGAGAGTTTGACCCCTAGAGGGACCTCAAAATTTCCCCTAGTGGTCCCTAAAACAACAAAACCCTATAGTGACCTCTCCGAAACTTCTCAGTAGTCAATAAAATATTGCCTGACCTTGGCACTTAAGTGGTCCCTACAGTGATTTTTTAACTTTTTTGTTGGTTTGGCTGTTAAAAAGAACCTCCCCTAGAGTGGCCACTTTTGAGGGCTTCAGTGTCCCCTATAGGGGAGGTGGGGTGGTCTCTAGTAGGGAGCCTACAAGAGCCCTTTAGTTGGCGTTTTTAGTGGTCCCTTGGAAGCTCCAGGTTCTTATCTTACAAAGATGCTTCTTTAAAATACTTAAGAACATACTCCGGAACGTTGAAGTGGTCCCTAGAGGGCTAAAGTTCAAGTGGTCCCTATAAGGTCCAGCCCCTAAGTCCCCCAAGCTTAAGTGACCCTAGAGGGGCTACTTCGAAAAACTCTAGCGCCTCCTATAGGGCAAGGTAAGGTGATACCTAGAGGGGTCTTTTCAAAAGTCCTCAAGATTGCCCCTCTAGCCACTCTTCAGAATCATGACTTCAAAGGAAACGAACCCAACAATACCCATACGGGAACGACTGGCAAACGCCGTTGACGAATTCCCATCGGTAGACGAATTGTGACGGAAGTCCGGTCTGACATCTCAACTTATACGGCGTCTTTCCGCAGACCACGAGAGCTGGAATCAATCGCTTTGAAAAATCGATTTTTCGCAGTTTTGGGAATGGCTTTGAGCCATTTTTGGGCTGCAACGCGGTCGCGTCGCGGTTTTGGCGCCGATTTGAGGATTATCGCATTTTTTATGTGCTGATTGATCAGTTTAGACGTGAGAAAATTCAAAAAATTTGATTTCGCGCCAAACACGTCGCGACGGCAACGCCCCGGGCCATTTTCATGCAAAGCGGTCGCGGCGCGGTTCTGGCGCCGATTTGAGGATTATCACATTATTCGATGTTCATGCGTTAGGGTTGATCAAATTTAACGCGGGAAAATTAAAAAATTTCAATTTCGCGCCAAAACGCGACGCAGCCGCTTTGCAACGTCACAACCGCGTCGCGACCGCAACGCCTCGAGCCAATTTCATGCAAAGCGGTTGCGTCGCGGTTTTGGCGCCAATTTCAGAACTCTTCCATTATTCGATGTTCATGTGCTGATTGATCAGTTTAAAAGCGGGAAAATTCGAAAATTTTGATTTCGCGCCAAAACGCGACGCGACCGCAATTCCCAATGCGACCAAAAGACTCCACCACACCTTTCTGTCTCTCGAAGAACTCCCGTTGAAGTTGCTGCTCTTCCAGACTCGTTTGGTCGGAAATAATTCTGGTGGCCGAAGTAGTGAAGTAAGCTGGAGAAGACGTTGTAGCATTATTGTCACCATGATTGATCAGAATATTTTCCGTGGCAGAAGTAGGAGTCGTCGCGTTGACTACATCGATGTAGATTTTCTCGCCATTCGTCCCCTTGATGATGACGTTGACGGTGACGTCACTCGGGGCGTGAATCTTCGGCGTCGTCTCCTCCAGTGGAACCTCGACGATGCTGGATATTGATGGGGCTTCTGGAGAGATCTTGAAGGATTCTGAAGTGATGAGGTTTTCTGAAGAAGCCGCGTCGGTTTCTGATGCTCCGGTACCCGTTTCTGACGTCTTCTCCGAAGTTCCTTCCGATTCTGACGTCTTCTTTGGAGCGACGTCAACTTCTGATGCGTCCAAATCCGTTTCTGTCGTCTTCTTTGGATTAACGTCGGTTTCTGAGGCTTCGGAATCAGTTTCTGACTTCTTCTTTGCAGCGACGTCAACTTCTGATGCTTCTGAATCAGTTCCGGACGTCTTCTTTAAAGCGACGTCAACTTCTGATGCGTCCGAATCCGTTTCTGACGTCTTCTTTAAAGCGACGTCAACTTCTGATGCGTCCGAATCCGTTTCTGACGTCTTCTTTAAAGCAACGTCGGTTTCTGAACCTTCTGAATCAGTTTCGGACGTCTTCTTTGAAGCGACGTCAACTTCTGATGCTTCTGAAACAGTTTCTGCCGTTTTCTTCAAAATGACGTCGCTTTCTAAAGCATCTGAATCCTTTCCGGCTGAACTATTATGATTCACGTCTTCTGGGGAGATCGTGGAAGAGTCTTCCAAAGTTTTTGAGCTGCTTCCTGAAGACGTTTCCTCAATGACGTCTTCTGATGACGTAGAGGAAGTGACGTCAACTTCTAGGCCATCTGGGCCATTTCCAGGTATCTTTGGCACTTCGATGCCTTCTGGAGTGATTTTCGAAGCGACGTCAACTTCAGGAACACTTGGGCCGGCTCCAGCAGATTTTTCTTGATTAGCGTCATCTGGAGAAGCCGTCGAAGACGCTTCTGAAGTTTCCAAGCTTCCTGCGGACGTCTTCTCTTCAACGACGTTTCCTGAAGAAGTTCCGTCGACGTCAGTCTTGTCAATGCCTTCTGATTCAGTTGTTGAAGTTTTGCTCGACGTGACTTCTGAAGTTTCCACGTCACTTCCAGACGTCGTCTGTTGGGATAATTTCGCTGACTTCTCAGAAATCACCTTGACTTCGAGAGTTTTTGACCCATCTCCAGATGATTTGTGTTCCCTGACGTCTTCAGACGAGTTTTCCAGGAGGTTCTGATCCTCGACGTCATCTGGAGATGAAGACGTCACCTCGACTTCAACGACCTTGGAACCGTCTTCAGGAAGCTTGGATTCAGATGAATTCAGGATTTCTTGCTCGGCCTCATCTGGAGTAACCGTCGGAGATGTCTTCAAAGTTCCTTCGTTCGGACCTTCCTGAGAGGTGACGTCATTCTTGTCGGCTTCTGAGGACTTCGGACTAGATTCAAGAGGATTCTGCGATGTGACGTCTTCTGGAGAAGCTGTCGAAGAGTTCTGAGATTCAAGATCGACTTCTGAGACTTTCGGCTGCTCAGAAGACTTCTGAGAAGTGACGTCATTCTTGTCAGATTCTGAAGACGTTAGGCCTTTTCCGAGAGATTTCTGAGAAGTGACGTCATTCTTGTGCTCTTCCGACGACTTCAAGCCGTCTTCCAGAGAGCTGACGTCATTTTTGTCAGATTCTGAAGCCTTCGTGAAAACTTCTAGAGAACTTTGTGTGGTGACTTCGATGATTTTGGCTTCTGAAGTGGTCTTTGAAGTGATCTTGATCTCCAGAGACTTCGGGCCAGCTTCAGAAGGCTCTGTGAGGGCTTCTGGAGGTTCTACGACCGACTCGGAGAGGATTTTCAGAGTGGCGTCATTAGCAGGAGGTGATTCTGGAGCGATGCCAGGGGGTCTTTTTGGAGTGACGTCATTGACTGGCCCATCTGACGTCACGACTCCATCCTCCTCACTCTTTGTCTTCTTGGACACGACGTCTTCAGGCTGGACCACCTGGAGAACGACGTCACCTGTGGTCGCTGAACTTGACGTCGAGGATTCTAGGTCTTCTGGAGCGCTGACGTCATTTGGAAGGTTCGTCGCCTTCTTCGGCGCTTTCAGAACTTTAGTATCGACCTCGCCAAGGAACTGAGAAGAGGTGAAGGCTTGGGCGGGGGTTGGGTCTTCTGGAGCGGGAGATTCTTGGCCGGGGGTCGTCGGGGTGTCTTCAGAAGACGTTGACGTCGGGGGTTCGATGGGAGCTTCTGAAAAATTGGGCTTTTTATGAAAGACTCCGAACAAAATTTCACATATTTTAAATTCGCTTAAGCGCCTCCCTAATGTATCATGAACACTAGGAAAGTTCTAGAAAACGACATGTGAGAAAAAAAAACGACCCAAATGGAGGTCAAGTTGATCTTGAAACCTATCTAAAGACGTACAGGGGAAAAAATGACCTCCATTCAAGAATTATGAAAAAGTTTTCGAATTTTTATAGGGTATTAAAATTTTTATAATGAGATAACTGTACTGAAAAAAAAAATCATTAAAATTTCAATTTATGAGGGGAAAATGATAATGTTCCAAAAAAATTATAATCTTAGGAACGCCAGAGTGGTCCCTATAGGGGCCTGGCGATAAAACAACCCCTATAGGGGACAACAATTCTTCTAAATTGGAGGGGGTAAAGTGGTCCCTGGAGGGGTATCTTCAAGGGCCACTAAGGTTGCCCCTACAGGGACCACTTCAAGTATATTTTTTTCTCAGATCTTGAATCTCAGATTTCAAAAGAATAAATCAACTGAAAATCGTTAAGATCGAGAAAAAAACTACAATATTCGGCCGTTTTTTTATAAATTCCGGATCTTTTTAAAGATTCACTATGAAGTTGAGGTCATTTTCTAAGATTTTTCTATAAAATATTGTCAATTCGAAACTATTTTTTTGACCATTTTCAACCTTACCTTTTTTTCAACAAAACTACTTTCGAAGAAATTTCTTATGAACAAATTTTTGCACAAAATCAAGTTATTTTGAAAAAAAATCAAACCCGAAATCAATCCCCGGGTTCGCATGTCCCGAATAATGTCCTCGTACTTTGGCGGTTCACCCGATTTTTTCCGTATTTCCAGGATCTCTGACGTCACGACACTAGTGTCTAAAAACTCGTGATTTTTCGAATTATCGATTGAAAAATGAAAAGATTTGAAATCGATTCAAAATTATCGATTAAAGATTGAAAAACGGGAAATGTTTCACCTGTTGAGGTGACATCGGTCGTCGTGATGACGTCACTTTTAGATTTATCCGATTCGAAAAACGGTGGGGCGTACATTTCTTCTGGAAAAACTTATTGGTTTTTTTCAATTTTTCTGACGTTATTCAGAAAATTCTGATGACGTCATAAAATGTTCCCGGGTAAAAATGACGTCATTTATATATTTCAGTTATTTTACCCTGTTAAGATAAATTTTCAATCATCGGACCTCAAAAAAACCTTGATGACGTCATTTAATCATTTCTGATGACGTCATGATCTCCCCGGGCGAATGTGACGTCATTTTAAAATTTCAGGAAATTGATTTCCCCTTGTTGAGATGAACTATTTTTATGATAGCTCGAAAATATATTGATGACGTCATTTAATCACTTCTGATGACGTCATAACGTTTACGGGTGAAAATGACGTCATTCACAAATTTCGGAACGTTCGATTTCTCTTGTTAGAATGAGTTTTTTAACTATTAGCCCTCAAAAATAGTTTTATGACGTCATTTTTTGAATAAAAGAGAAATTCAAGAAAATGACGTCACCAGAAGGAAAATTTTTTTATCAAGCTCAAATTATGAGGACGAGAGAGCAATAGAACTGAAGAGACGCAGAGAAAGAAAGAAATCCTCAAAATTATCAGACAAGGTCCTGGAACGAAATAACCACAATTACGGTAAAATACAAATTTCACGGTAGAACAACTTGCTACGTATCAATTTCGCTGCGCAGCAACTCACCCTGACTCATCGTCGTCTGCTCGATCGTCTCCTCGGCTTCTTGCAACGCGTCGATCGCTTTTTTCACTTTCGCGACATCGCAATAATTCTCGCAGTCTGTTTTGGTTATCAGCGTCGGCGGAGGGTTTTCATCGTCCGAATCTGAATGATTCAAATTATTTTAGAGATTATTTGCTTCGAGTTGAACCTGGACACGATCCAAACGGATAAAATTCGCAGCTCAACGTTTGGATGTTGAAAAACCAGCGAAGAAGAGGCTGGGACTTGTTTCGGCCCTCGTTACAGGTTAACCTTGGAAAAAATGAATTTTTTAAGCTCCAAATCGTCAAAAAACCTGTAAGGAAAGCGTTCGCAGGAGAGCGACCTTTCGAAAAACTCTGAGCTGCTGTCTTTTCTCGATAGCGACTCTTTGATGGCTTCATCCGTTGTCAGGTTTCCAGAAGCGACCAATTTCTTGATAATTTCATCCGTCGGGGGTTGGAAATCGCCTGGCTTGTCGCCAACAACCGCGAGAGGCTTCGAAGAGTCCTAAAAACCAAAAATAAAAACGGCAAAAAGGCATTTTCCCATGCCGGGAATCGAACCCGGGCCGCGTGGGTGAAAACCACGAATCCTAACCACTAGACCACATGGGAGGTCGAGAGGAGTCGTGGCCTAGCGCGCCCATATCACCTCCTCTCCTCGCGCGTGTGTTGCTTTGGAATATTCTAAAAACTTTGAAAAAACTCACAAATTTTTTTTCGACGACTTCTGAAGGCTTGTCAATGTGATTCAGAAAGTAGTCGTTGTTGATTTCAGCGAGTGACGTCACGTTCGCGCAGCAAACGCCGATGGCTGGGATAAGCCGGTTTTCCTGAAATATTTCATTTAGATACTATCCAATTCAACATGACTTGAAATATTTAATTTTTAAATAACGATGAAAAAAACATGTAAAAAAAGTGATGAAATCGATCAATAATTAGAAAAAAATGGCTCGGAATATTCGAAAAAGAATTTACGATTTCAATATTTTATAATGATTATTTTCGCAGTTTTGAGACATTTAGAGTGTTCCAAAAACGTCAATCATCTATCAAAAAGTGAGAAAATTGGAAAACAAGCAATTCATCGCAAAGATGAAGCGTGTTAAGAGCAAATTATGAGGGGAATGCAACAATTAACTTCCACATTGACATATTTCTCCAAGTTTGCAATCAAATAGTGGTACAGAAACGTACTTTGCAGGGTTTGAATTGAACATTTTTGAAATGAAGGATCGAAGAAATTTCTTTTTCTAAGCTGAAGCATGGAAAATAGCGACAAAAAAAACGTGAAGAAAAAAATTAAAATTTCGCCTTTTCTCTTTTAAAAACAACATTTCCTAAAATAAAATGGCTGGAAGCTTTTAAAAAATCAAATTTCAAACGAACCGAATAAAAAGTGCAGTCGAAGCCGCGGGGGCACCCGCGGGAGCACGGGAAAATTCGTTGGAACTCGTCGAGCAATGGCGCTCCACCGCTCTCTCCACATCCCTGGCCGAGTGTTTCAGCTACTGAAAATATATGATTTTGATTTTATTGCTTTTTCTTGGATTTCTTGGATTTACTGGATTTCTAGTGGGTTTAGTCATGATTTTAAGATATTTGTTGAGTTAAAAAAAACTAAAAACTGAGAAAAAAAAAACCAAATTATAAAAATTTTTTTCCATTTTTTTATTATAATAATTTCAGTTTAAAATGGTGGGAAAAACTTGAAAAAAAAGATTTTTAAAAGAAAAAATATCGAGAAAATCTTCCATTAAAAATAAAAATTGAAGTAAAAAAGGAAAATCGCTTGAGACTTTCCCATGCTCAGAAAAAGGTTTAAAAAAATATAAAAAAACTATGCAAAAATCTAATCTCTTGGATTTCAGATCCAATTACCTTGCTAGGACCTGTCGAATAATTATTTCCAATGAGAAAAAAAGATGATTTTCGAAAAAAACGCGACGCGACCGCGTTGCCTGACTCATTCCCTCATTTTGCCTTGTTTTATTGATTCCAAGATGTTTTCCAATGTTTAGTGCCATTTTTTTTCGATTTTCAAGTGCACAATAACTTTTCTGACATTGAAAAACTGTTATTGGCAGCCACTTGACATTTCGCTTTTTGCGGTTTTTTCAACCTCTATGGGTAATTTTTCATGGAAAATCTTATTCTGAACATACTTTAAAGAAAAAATAATCAATTCATGCGGAAAACCCCCAGAAAATACGATCGAAAGGCCCAAAGAGAACAAGAACATGAAGAGATGTGCACTTTTTTACGTCATACAAAGGTGGAAAAATTCGTTCCATTCTTTTGAAAATGGATAATTGGCTCAAATTTCTCGGAGGGGGCCGATTGGAGGTCAGTGGAGGCGCCAATTATGGTCAGCAAAAAGTCGGGAATTTCAATCATTGAAATTTTCAAAGATTGGGGCTCATGACGCGTAAAAGTCAGAAATGAATGAATTTCAAGCTTTTTTTTGAAACTTCGAAAAAAAATGATAAAAAATTGTATGATATTCAGATAATCAGAACAGAAAGCATCAAAGTCTGTGAATTGAAGATGCGCCCGACTTGAAACGACTTACGCTCGGAGGCACCATTAAGCATAAGAGCGGTATTTCTTAGCCTTTCCAGGTGCGAACAAAGAGTAGCGAATCTTTCTGAGTCGAAAAAAGAGCTCCAAAAAGAAAAAAAATATTATGGACTAAGATATTTCCGTTCTGATGGTATCTTGTGAAAATTTGCGACTATTAATCAGATAATCAAAGATAAGATCCTCTGGAACTGGACGGACTAGGCGCTAAAGAACAAGGCGAAGATCATGTTCTCAACTTGATCAACTACAGGTTTAGACTACTTGATTCTACTTGATCAACTACATGTCCGACTTCTAGTCGGCCAAGGACGGTTTTTCTCACCGCCTAGTCGATTAAATCTGACAAAAGCATCAAAATAAATGATTGATTGACTGATAAGATCATCCAGCCTTCAGGGCATCCTTACAACCCATTCAGATCAGAATTCAACGTCAGAAACATCTCCCAGACACAATCAAACACGATCAGAACCAAGATCAACTCAATCAGAAACTCACCTGCAAGACAGCAGATCAAGGTGAGATTCAGAATCGTGGGGGGACACGACGACCGTCGGCCGGCCATCGCTGCTGCGTGTGAATATTCTCCGCTTATGACAAGGGGGCTTACACGAAAGTCCCAGGGAGAGAAAAAAAAAGAAGAATGTGGGCGTGTCGCTGAGCTTTTCCTTTTTCGGCTTGAAGCGACCCGACGTCTTCAGGAAAGAAGGCGTCAACTTTTGGAGACATGACATGCCCGGCCCAGGCCACGCCCACTTTTTTCACGGCGGCCTCCCCGATTTTGATCTCATTGACGGAAATATGAACCGTTAGATTGGTCGGTTAGGTGTCTATTATGAGATATTTTGAGATAAATCAAGCTTCGCCCACTTTCAATGAAACATATCTGGGAAAAACTTCAATGGTCACTTAAGAGGTTCCTCAAGGAAGAGGACCCTAAAGTGAACACTAAAAAGACTATAGAAGTCACTAAGTTGCGTCTTAGTGGCCACTATAGTGTTTTGGAGTACCACCTAGACTTCTAAAGGTACCACTAGATTTAGTCACTTAAGTGGCCACTAACTTGACTCCTAGAGTGGCCACTAGAATGTCAAAACCCTTCGCTCAAAATTTTTCCCAGTTTGCGTCTCTTTGCAGAGTTCTTCAATAAAGTTTGTAGAACTCCTTTAAGTGACCACTTGGATTTTCTTTTAATAACTTCAAGTGGAACCTTCAGGGACGATCTGCAGTCACTAGCCTTGAAGAGAGACGAATTCGTTCATTGGAAAAAAGGCCCTTTCAGTGACCACTTCAATTATACTTCTGACAGTTGAGGGCGTTCCTTTAAGTGACCTCTTGAATTTTCCATCAAAATATCCAAGGGACATCTTTAGGGACACTCGGCAGACACTCAACTTGAAAAAGAGAAAAAATTTTCACTAAAGTGACCACTTCCATATATTTCTAACTAAACTCTTCGTCGCTACGGATCGGTTGCTGAGTAATTTTCATAAAGCCCTTAAGTGATCACTTCGATTTCACTCGAAACTTCAAGTGACCTCTTTAGAAGTCGCCAAGGAACGCCGATTGAGCGACCTTGCACTTTAAAGTGAGCCCTTGAACTTCTTCTCAAGTTTGACCTTTAGGGAAATTTCGAGAAAGTTCCAAGTGACCCCTTGAGGGGCTCAGTTTGCACCTCTTTTTGAGAATAAGGCATATTTTCACTTGAGTGACCACTTTAATCCGATTTTTAAGAGAATTCTTGGCCGTTACGTACTTCAACTGAGTAACTTTTATATTGTCCTTAAGGGATCACTTCAATTTTCGTCGAAATTTCAAGTGACCTCTTTAGAAGACGTCAACCGAGTGACCTTGCACTTTAAAGTGAGCCCTTGAACTTCTTCTCAAGTTTGACCTTTAGGGAAATTTTCAAGTGACCCCTTGAGAGGTGCTGCTCGTTCTGATTAAATTAGAAGACTTCAAAAAAGCTTCAAAAAAACTTAAGTGACCACTTGAACTTTTCAAAGCTGATTTTTAAGGGATCAATTGAGGGCTCCTGCTTGCTCTAATTCCATTAGAAGCTTCAGAAGTACTCCTTTTAAGCGACCACTTGAACTTTTCAAAGCTGACTCTTCTTAAGTGTTCTCTTCAGCTCTTCGAAGCTTTTTCCACTCTTTTTAAAAAGCTCTGATTCAAGAGTAGGAAAAAATATTTACCTCGAGAAAGCCTAACTGAATTTATTTTCGAAATTCAGGTTTTCTGATGCAAAAACCTTTGGATTTTTTCCACTTGATGCTTAAAATTTCGAGAAATAAATTCGTTTTTTTTTTTTTGATTTCCGGCTTGCGTAAGGCTTTGACGTTGAAAAAAAGCTCGATTTTTCTTGAATTTTTCCACGGATTTTTTTCCCATTCAAATTCAAATCTATAAAGTTTATAAGAACTTCAAAAAAATTACACAGTTCTTAAGTTTAAAAAAATATCATAAATTCTTCAAAATTAGCGCTAAAAATTAATTTTTTTCTGATTTTTCAAAAAAATAAGTCTGAGTGTTTTTATTTGATTATGGTTTTCAAGCGAGACCGTGTGAAATTGGAAAAGCGCTTCTGAACCTGTGGATCCAAACGTACCAGAAGAAGATTCTGAAAGTTCCAGCCGGCACAACTTTCCTGTTTCCGAGAAATAAGGGGTCGGAATTGTCTATTTTTACGGATTACGAGGAATTTCTTCGGTTTTCAGGTGTTTTTTTTTCAAAAACTGGGAAGTTTTGCAGGTTGAGACTTGATTTTTCTTTTGCTCTTTCTTGTGAGAAAAAGTGAAAAATATGAAAAATTTTTATTATATGAAAAATTTTTTTGGCCTGGCCTCAGTTGCAAGCTTCTAATAGAGAAATTTTTTTGCAGATCCCTTTTTTTGAGCAATTTTGTTTATTAATAAGAAATCTTTTTCACTTAAGTGGCCACTTCAATCCAATTTTCAAGAGGATTCTTTTGCCGCTACGGACTTGAGCTGAGTAACTTTTATAACTTCCTTAAGAGATCACTTCAATTTTAGTCGGAAATTCAAGTGACCTCTTTAGAAGTCGCCAAGGAACGCCGATTGAGCGACCTTGCACTTTAAAGGGAGCCCTTGAGCTTCTTCTCAAGTTTGACCTTTAGGGGAATTTTCAAGTGACCCCTTGAGAGGTCCTGCTTGCTCTGATCACATTAGAAACTTCAAAAAAGCTTTAAAAGAACTTAAGTGACCACTTGAACTTTTCAAAGCTGACTCTTCTTAAGTGTTCCCTTCAGCTCTTCGGAGCTTTTCCCACTTTTCAAGATTTTTAAAAATCTCTGATTCAAGAGTAGGAAAAAATATTTAGCTTGAACAATGGTACATCAAGGAGTGTCCTGTCGAACTTTCTAAAAGTTTTCCAAGCTTAAAGTGAAGTGACCTTTCTTGTGGGTTTTATGAAGAAAGGTCCAAAGTGTCCTTTAGAAATCGTGATTTTTTGCAGGGAAAAAATGTCGTTGGCAATTGTTCCATTAGAAGCTTGCAACGGGAGACCGACCCGACCAAGTATCGCGTAGGAAATCAACTCGAACATCGAAAATCCCTCAAGCTCAAATTAGCTCTAATCCGCATTAAATATGGAACATTCGGGCTGTTGCAAAGCGAAAAAAAAAGACGGAGAAGAAAGAAAAACGTTCCCCCCGACGCACCTTCTTCTCTATTAGCAAACATCACGACGCCGCAAGAAGACGTCGGAAATCCTGAAGACGTCGCGGACGCCTTCTTGATGGCACTTAGCCTCCCGAGAAAAAGGGGGAGGGGGCGAGAGAGAAAGATGCAACATTTTGAAACGACAAAAGATGAGTGAAGGAGATCTGAAAAGAGACGATAATGCGGGGGGCGAGGAGGGCCCTTGGGCGCTGGATCCTCGAAAAGTCACACAGGAAGACTCACTTCGCGCGGGATCCAGCCTAGATTTTCCAGGATCCCCCTTGAAGGGAGGTCTTTTTACTCGAAACTTCGAAAAACATGTCAAAAAAGGTTGTGAATAAGAACAACTGAGGCAACCTTTGAAGGTGCCCCTCTAGGGTACACTTTACCTACCCCTATAGGGATCACTAAAAGCTTGCAAAAGCGCTCTCGGAAGAGGGGGAAGGGTTCAGCTAGTGGTCCCTGTAAGAGCGATTTTTCCAGGATCCCCCTTGAAGGGGGGTTGTTTTTACTCGATATTTCGAAAAAAACATGTCAAAAAAAGGGTTTGAAGCTTCTTGATACCCTAGAGGGACAACTTAGGAAACTCTAGGGACCCTTTAAGGGAAGTCTTTTTACTCGAAACTTCAAAAAATGTCCAAAAAAGGGTCTGAAACCTCTCGATACACTAGAGGGACAACTTAGGAACTCCAGAGGGGTCCCTAAAAGGGCGACCCTAAGGGCCCTTAAAAGTAAATCCCCCTCCCCTCTTTTAGCTCCATTCACCTACCCCTGTAGGGACCACGAAAGCTTGCAAAAGCGTCCCCTATAGGGGCTTCATTAGTGGTCCCTATAGGGGCGTGAGATTCCGATGCAAAAAAATCAATAAATTAGCGTTTTTCGAATGAAAAGTAGCTACAGTGGAATCAATTTTCATATAAAAAAACATCAAAGACCCCTTGAGGGATCACTTGAACTTTAAAACTGCCTTGAAAGTTTTCTCGTACCACCGTTATGATCACCATTTGTTAGGTCAAACCCCTAGAGTGACCACTTGTATTTTACCCCTATAGGGGGCACTTTTATGTCCCCTATAGTGTTTTTTTTTCTTTTAAGCCCTCTAGGGATCACTCTAGGAGTTCCTGAAAGCTTCCCGTGAATTTTAAATTTTGTAAAGATGAAAGGAACTTTTTCCTCATAGAGCTAGTTATAGTTTTTTTGAATTTTTTGATTTTTTCCGAATTCTGAATTTCCTGACTCGAAAAACTTCTAGCTTCAAGTTAATGTGGAAAAGCTCATATTCAGAATAACAAAACAAGATTAATTTATTCGGCTCATTTTGCGAGATTCAGCCTAGTTTTTTTCGTTTCCAGAATTCCTTGAAGGGGGCATTGAAAGACTGGAAATTTATACATTTTTCTCAAAAAAATATGTTAATTTTTCCTATTTTTTTCATCCTCTATTTGAAACCATCCAAGGAGATTTTCCTTTGAAAAAAATCTATTTTTTTCCATTATTTTTCAATCAATCTTCATTTTTTTCTGGATACTAAAAAAAAAATTTTCCAAAAAAATCCAAGCAGAAAATTCCATCCTATTCGTCCCCGTCTAAAAGCTCAACCACATAAAAAACCTCATTTTCTTCATTTTCACTAGGCTTCTGGGAATGCACCAGAGAACTTCTGAGAAGAAAAAAGACAAGATTCCCTTGATTGGGATGGGAAAGGGATTTTTGAGGGCGAAGAATGAGGGAGCGTCCAGAAATTTAAAACAGACAATCCCCAAAAAAATGGGAAGGTGAGAAAGTTGGTAGTTGTTTTCTTTGCAAAGATTACCTGCAAGGTAGAAATTTATATTTTTTGAACTTGTTTGAGTGAAGTTTTGACTTTTCTTTGGATTTTCAAACTTTGAAAAGCTCATTTCAAGAAGCCGAGAATTCTTCAAATTCCTTGAACTAGATAATTTCCGAGGCCCTTGTGAGGTTACATTTTCTCTGTTTCTCGACGTCCTCCGCCCCTCGAGTGGCCTGGCCAGTTGGGCCGGTTCCCATTTCAATTCTTTTGGTCAGAAATATAGCCACTTGAACGACCTTTGGTTGGAGGGAGATCAAAAAGGGTGGGAAGATGTTTCGTTGGACATTTCAGGAGAATCTTTGTATTTCGAAGCGAAAAGAAGATTTATTGGGAAGCTCAAGGCCGAGAGCCGTAGTAAGGCTGGGATCCGTAGCGGGAGCCGTGTTTCTCGTCGTGCGCCTTGTTGATCCAGCCGTCGGCGTGGCCCTCGTCGCCGTAGCCGCCGTAGCTGCTGCCCTGCTTGCCGACGTCGTACTTGTTGCCGTGGCCGGCGTGGACGTCGTCCTGCTGGTCGTAGGAGGAGTACTTGTCGGCGTGGCCGGCGCCCTCGCTCGCGTAGCCCTTCTTGAAGCCGTCGGAGTCGGCCGCCGCGTTGTACTTGCTCTTGTGGTCGCCGTGCTCGTAGCCTGAATCTCTCTGATTCCAGAAGAACATCTTGTAGAAGCACCTTCGGAGCCGTAGTAGCCCTTCTTGTAGGTGCCGGCAGGACCGGATCCCTCCACGATGTAGGAGTACTTCTTTCCGCCCTCGACGTCTGCAAGGAGGTTCTGAAAGGTCCTGCTTCTCCAGCCAAACCTCCGTCCTTCTTGAAGCCGCCCTCGTAGTTCGAGTCGGCGTGGCCGTTCTCATCTCCCTTGGCAAAGTAGTCGCCGCCGTTCTTGTGTCCAGCAGCTCCTACAGTACCCTTTCCACAACCCTACAGTACCCTCTCGCCTACCGTATTTGCCGTCGTGATGCCCGTGTTTCCCATGAGCGCCTCCATAACTGTCGCTGCCGTAGCGGGAGTCGTATCCGCCGCGGTTGTTGTCATAGCCGCCGTAGTACTTGTCCTGGAAGAAGGTCTTCTGGATTCAGAAGACGTCACCGACCAAGTCGTCGTGGTGGCCGCCGTAGGAGTTGTAGGAGCCGGGATGTCCGTAGCCGAACATTTGGGCCGACGAAAGAGCCACCAACGCCGCCGCCAAGGCCAGTCTCGTCATGATGTTTACCTGGAGTTCAGGTGGTTGGGGGTGAAAAAGGAAGGGGAACGTTTTAGGGGCGTGAGAAGGGGTTCAGTTGGAGCTGTACTACCTTTATTTGGTCTAGGGGTGGTAAAATGAGATTTTTTGAGGATGCGTGTTTTTAGGAAGGGGGTGGGGGATGAATAAATGATTTTATATCAATCAGAAGGAATGATTGTTGATTCTTCCGATTTTCGGTGACTTTTTATACGAATCTCCTACTCTTCAAGCGGCTTTTTTTAGCTGGCGGGGGGGAGTTGTTAGGTTTTTTTCATTTCAGAGCGATACAGAGTGGTAAGAAGATTCCCAAAAAGCTAGATTGAAGCCCAGTAGAGTAATCTTACGAAAACTGAAGGTAAAATCAAGAAAAGAACGTCGAAAGTGATACTGTTCACCTCCAAAAGTCGGACTTTTATACCTCACCGTCCGCCGTACCAGTTTCCCCCACGACGTCTACCAATTTCTTCAGTCAATTTTTATCGCGCGTTATTGTGTCGGAGCGGCGAATCATCGTTTTTTTCGCATTCCGTTGCAGTTGTACTTGACTTTCACTAATATCCGCGCGGAAGCGTTCGATTACCAGTTGGAAGCTCAGGAATTTCTTAGAAAAAAAGGTGGATTGATCAGAAATTCGGTTACTCTGTTGAAGACTTGATACAGTAAGAGGAAAAAAATATTTAATAAAACATAATTTATTGATTGTTTATTGAGCTCTCGAATGGAAAAAGGACGATTTTGTGACAAAATATCTTACTGGGGAAGTTATTTTATTTTACTCCCTACTTCAGCAAAGTTTTATCAAAATTTCCACCCAACCGGGAACTTCGGCAGACAAAAGGGATTTTAAGGCTTAATTTTTTTCAAATGGAGGATGAAAATCAAATTTTCGAACTCAGGGGAAATTCTAAACAAGAAAATGCTTTGAAAACTTTGAAAAAAAAAAACGAAAATAAGGATTTTTCAATTTTTATTGAAGACCTTTCGGACAAGTCTAACTGGTGGTCTGAAAAATAAACTGATCCTTTTAAAAAAAAAAAAAATTTTGTCTTCTAGCACAAAAAAATGTTTTTTTAAAACGTTATCCGATCGACTTCTGAATGAGACTAGGTTCATTAAATGTAGTTTATCACGCTGATTTCGAATCTGTGCTCATTTTTTGTAGAAAGTAATTTTGAAGGTTGGTATAGCCCTCAAAAGCTGATAATCTGGTGTCAAAAATGAAGTTCTCGAAGTTTTTACGCGAAATTAGGGCGACCTACGACGTGAACTTTTTTTTCAAATTCTTCGCCGAATGAACTTTAAAATTCGTTCTGAGTTCTGACATTTTTACTTGATTTTCTGAGCTTTCCTGTCCGTGTCTTAGAACCATCGTATCATTGTCTCTGTCTCCTGCGTTTGAAAAAACGCAATAATCATCACTCCGCCAGCTAAAAAGTCGCTTGAAGAGTAGGAGATCCGTATAAAAGTCGCGGAAAGTCGGAAGAGTCAACAATCTTTCCTTCTGATTGATATAAAATCATTTATTCATCCCCAACCCCTTCCTAAAAACACACATCCTCAAAAAATCCTAATTTAACTGACCTACCTCAAAGGTAGTACAGCTCCAACTGAACCCTTCTCACGCCCCTAAAATGTTTCCCTTTCTTTTTCAACTCCACAATTCTCACTTTCACCCACCTGAACTTCAGGTAAACAACATGACGAGACTGGCCTTGGCGGCGGCGTTGGTGGCTCTTTCGTCGGCCCAAATGTTCGGCTACGGACATCCCGGCTCCCACAACTCCTACGGCGGCCACCACGACGACTTGGTCGGTGACGTCTTCTGAATCCAGAAGACCTTCTTCCAGGACAAGTACTACGGCGGCTATGACAACAACCGCGGCGGATACGACTCCCGCTACGGCAGCGACAGTTATGGAGGCGCTCATGGGAAACACGGGCATCACGACGGCAAATACGGTAGGCGAGAGGGTACTGTAGGGTTGTGGAAAGGGTACTGTAGGAGCTGCTGGACACAAGAACGGCGGCGACTACTTTGCCAAGGGAGATGAGAACGGCCACGCCGACTCGAACTACGAGGGCGGCTTCAAGAAGGACGGAGGTTTGGCTGGAGAAGCAGGACCTTTCAGAACCTCCTTGCAGACGTCGAGGGCGGAAAGAAGTACTCCTACATCGTGGAGGGATCCGGTCCTGCCGGCACCTACAAGAAGGGCTACTACGGCTCCGAAGGTGCTTCTACAAGATGTTCTTCTGGAATCAGAGAGATTCAGGCTACGAGCACGGCGACCACAAGAGCAAGTACAACGCGGCGGCCGACTCCGACGGCTTCAAGAAGGGCTACGCGAGCGAGGGCGCCGGCCACGCCGACAAGTACTCCTCCTACGACCAGCAGGACGACGTCCACGCCGGCCACGGCAACAAGTACGACGTCGGCAAGCAGGGCAGCAGCTACGGCGGCTACGGCGACGAGGGCCACGCCGACGGCTGGATCAACAAGGCGCACGACGAGAAACACGGCTCCCGCTACGGATCCCAGCCTTACTACGGCTCTCGGCCTTGAGCTTCCCAATAAATCTTCTTTCGCTTCGAAATACAAAGATTCTCCTGAAATGTCCAACGAAACATCTTCCCACCCTTTTGATCTCCCTCCAACCAAAGGTCGTTCAAGTGGCTATATTTCTGACCAAAGAATTGAAATGGGAACCGGCCCAACTGGCCAGGCCACTCGAGGGGCGGAGGACGTCGAGAAACAGAGAAAATGTAACCTCACAAGGGCCTCGGAAATTATCTAGTTCAAGGAATTTGAAGAATTCTCGGCTTCTTGAAATGAGCTTTTCAAAGGTTGAAAATCCAAAGAAAAGTCAAAACTTCACTCAAACAAGTTCAAAAAAGGTCAAAACACAGCAAACACCAGGAAACGAACAAAAAACCATTCAACAAAGTTAAGCAAGAGAAAAAATACCAACAACTATGAGACAAAAGTGTAAAAAACAATAATTTTTCGAGGTCGTACCAAAAAAGTGGCTTGAAATGGAAGGCACAAGCAAAAAATGGAACTATAAGTGAAAATTGTGACATAAAAGAGGTCTGGGAAATTGAATTTCATCTAGGAAAATATAGTTTTTTTCTTAATTTGTTCTTAGAGTCCTTAGGAGCTCCAGAGTGATCCCTATGGGGTTAAGAAAAAAAAACAGCCTCTCTAGATGACAAAAAGTGCTCCCTTGAGGGGTTGAGAATTTGTTCGCTAAGATCACTCTGGAGCTCCTCAGACTTCTAAGATCGGAAAAAAAAGTGGTTAATCAACTTTTGAGCGAGGGAAAATGTTCAAAAATGTCTAGAAAATGGGAAAAAATCAACAAATTATGTAACAAAGGTACAGATTTCCAAAAAAAGAGAAATTTAGAAGCCATTGGTTCGACGCCACGACGATGCCACAGTACGGTAGCCTAAATTTGGAAAATTTTTGAAAAAGAAAATTTGAATCTTTTTCCATAGAAGGGTTACACAGAAGTTCGAAGCTAAATACCGAAAATTTTAAAAATTTCAAATTTCTCAGTCAAAATCGTTCCTAAAATTAATTTTCACTACCAACTTTAAAGCTAATTTTCTCAATTTTTCTTTAATTTTCCTAGAAAAAAACGGCCCTAATTATACGTAAAACCTGAAAAAAAGCCATTTCCTATCGATTTATTTCGAAAAAAAGGGTCCAGGAAACCCGATAAACCGCTTGAAATTCAAAAACTTCGAAACCTTCAGAAAAAAATTTCATAACTATTTTTTTACAAGAAAAATTCAAGCCATTCTTCTCATTTTATTCAAAAAAAGACAAGAAAAAAATTTTTAAGAAGTAATTTTTTTCGAATCTGAGGCGAAGAGACGCCAGACAGCGAGAGAAATCTTCTTTCTCTGGCGTCTCTCCAAAGCGCCGTTGATCTCTAACTTTTTTTCATGAGTTTAAAAATCTTCCTCAGACCTTGGTAACGCGAACGGGACGCGAATCGGACGTGTCGGGGCATTTCTAGTGACCACTTTAGTAGCCTCAGAACTCTTAAGGGATCCCTAGAATCGCCCAGAAACGTCCGGAGAACGTCCGTTTCGCGTTACGAGTCCGAAAACGCTCATTTTTCGAGAAACTGATCTTTCTTCCCCTCATTCTTCCTTTCCCAACGATTCCACGATCAAAATGAAAAAAACTTCATTTACTTCGAGACTTTCAGTTGAACGACGTTAATACAACAATGACGATTTGTGCCCTTTGAAAGTGGAGAAAAAAGTTAACATGAAGCATTTTAATAGTGAGGAAAGAATAAATGCAATTTTTTTCGAGGTACAACGAGGACAAAAAAGTGAAAAATATCGATACAAAATGATATAATACACTGATAAGCGAGGCACACATAGAAAAAAGAGAGGTAAGTAGAAAGTTTCTTTTTCCGGCCCAAAAGCAATGAAAAAGTTGAAAAATATGATAAAATTGTTAGGAAATTGAAATAATTGTATAAAAATAATACTTTTGTTGTTTGAGATCATATCAACTGAATTATATTGTTCATTCAAGATTTTTTTGAAAGTTTTTTTGGTCGCATTTGGAATGGCTCGAGGCGTTGCGGTTGCGATGAGCCATTCTCTCGAGCCTGCACATCTAACTTCCATAGGTTATTTTTTTTTCAGTTTCGACAGTTGTTTATTTCTTTTTGAAGCCTTTAATTTATCCGAAAATTTTTGAAAAATTTGGTCGCATTTGGAATGGCTAAAGGCGCTGCTTGTGCGATTAACCATTCCCATGTGCCTGCGCATCTAACCTTCCTAACCTCTCAAATCTATAGCTCATCCAAGAAATTCGGAATTTTTGGTCGAATTTGGAATGGCTCGAGGCGTTGCGGTTACAATCAGCCATTCCCCCTGCACATCTAACTTTCCTAAGCTTTCAAATAAGACTTACAAAACTCTCAAAGAGACTTTTCGGTCGCATTTGGAAT